GCAGAACAGCTGTTCCCCCATCGTAATGCGAGCATGCCCTCGCATTAACAACGGGGAAATCCGCATCACAATGCGGATTCATCGTTCAACGGTGCACTCGTTATACGAGGCACCACTGTACTTCTGTCTAAAATCTTGACTAAAAATTGAGGGTCGTCTTATACATGGAAGTAAGCTGAGGAGAAAACAAAAACAAGTGGAGTGGAAAGCAGGGATCAAAGCAATTTTGCAGCACTTTTATCCCTTTCCCCCTACACTTGCTAAGCTCCACTTCGTCGTCGTCGTTTAGTCGTTTAGTCGTGTCCGACTCTTCGTGACCCCATGGAACAGAGCACGCCAGTCCCTCCTATCTTCCACTGCCTCCCGGAGTTGGGTCAGATTCATGTTGGTTGCTTCGGTGACACTGTCCAACCATCTCATCCTCTGTCGTCCCCTTCCACTTAGATGTCTTAATTTTGGATTATACATAGGGTAGTCTTATACACGGAAACATAGGTACATTTATTAATTAGTTTAATATTTCAAATTTATACTTCTAGCAACAGATATTTGGATGGGGTACAATGAATAATTTTTGGATTATATATAAATTATCGGTTGTAATCCATCCAAACATCTGTTGATCCAGGGCAAGTCTGAGCTATTTTAATAAATGAATATAAATGCATGTTTATTAGTACAACCTAGGCTGCTGTCGTATTACTAATGAGACCACTTAGGGCGATGTGAACATGGGAGTTGTGGGGGAAGAGCCACAGAACGAAGCCGAGACAGCTTTGAAAAAGTGTGGGTCTGAAGATGCTTAAAGCGGTTGCAAAGAACCACAACATCAAAAATAGCCACCTTGGTGGGTGGGAAGAGAAAAATGCTGGTTTGAAATATCGATGCCAGTTGTTCTTCTGTCTCCGGTGGAGAGCTGACTGCGGGTGCTTGATGGCAAAAGAAATAGCCCAAGGACATGGTGAAGGTGACTTTAAAGGGATTTCATCTTGACCGTGTGAGAAGCTCTCCCAACTGAACCGCGTGGCAAAAGGCTGTCACGCTCAGAGCGGAACAGTTTGAAATAAAAACCATCAAGGATGCACAAAGGAGGAGGGAAATAAGAAAGCAAAGGCTGAAATGTCCTGATGCGTCTAACCTGCTCCTACAATTCCTGTATCTTCTGTTCTCATATTGGGCTACTTAGCCACCCGTGCATCCATCATTATGCTACTGGTTCAATCTTAACTGCTCACCTCTTTTTCCTCTAGATGATCTCTCTCTCTCTCTCTCTCTTCATATATATATGATAGACCGAAATTGGGGTGGAGGGATGGGAGCCTGTTCTTACTCTGAGATGACCAAAGTTATCACCGTATACTTGCATTGAAGAGTGCAGTTTTTCTAGAATTTCTCAGGCTCAGCATTTGCCATTTCCCAAAGCCTTAACTGGAAAAATGGCACACCTTCCTAAAACTTTACAAATGTAAAGTTTGTAATATGGTTGAATTAGGCATCAGACCTCCTCTGGGGAAATGAGAGGGACTGAAGTGGAAGGGAAACCCCATTTCCTTGGTAATCACAAGAATAGATTACTACAATGCTCTCTTTGTGGGGCTGCTCTTGAAGACAGTATGGAAACTGCTGCAAGTAGGCTGATTTTGGAGGTAAGTAAATTCAACCGTATTACCCCAATTCATGCCACATAGACACTGGAAACAAACAAACAAAAAAAGATATCAAAAAACATCAGGCATCATGTAGCAGTAGTAGCAACTCAGAGGGGAACAACATAGACTTTCCTCCATAGATTCAAATTGACTTTTAGAGATGTATTCTCTCCTTTCAATGTGTCTGTTTAGACTATACGCTGCTGCATTTTTTAGAATGCAGTTACAACATTCTTTTTGTCTTTTATTCTATTTTCATTCTTCTGCATTTTGGACCGAATTCTGATTTTTTCCTGCAATTTAAGTCTAGTTTCCATATATGTTCAAGTAATTATGCCTACAATTCTCCCATAGTTGCAAGAATTCTAGATGCTTTCAACAACTTTGAAGTAACTTTTGTGCTTATGGAACAAAGAAGCAATGTCGATAAATAAAGCTTGTAGAATTAGACAAGCTGGTGTTGCCTGGAATTATCTCAACAATCAAAAGCCTTATACCTGGATGCCCAGATGAATTTTAATATGACTGGAAATGGTTGTCTGATTTCATTCTGGAATTAACTCTAAAAGGGATAAATGCCAGCTGTGACAAACACAGGCTTCTGATTTTGTCTATAAAGTTCTCCAGGGCTGTTAGGGAGAGGTTTAGGCATCAGACCTGACATGTGTAGCCAATCCTAAAACCGTTGGCAATGGTGCCTCTCCACTCTTAACAATTCAAGCACAGAGATGTTAAGAAGGGATGGCTTTCCTTCCTTGTAGTTTTGAACACAATGCAGAAGGGGGCGCCCTGATGCAGAAGAAAACTGCAACACAGAAAGGCATGTTAGAAACGAGTACTTTGTTCCGTTGCATTTGTGAATCACGAATCTTCCTAATCGACACTCTTTCACAGATGGATTTTTCCCACTCACTCTTTTCACCTTTCCAAGTGAGGGTGAATATTCACAGACTTTGATGCACTATGTGGTGCCCAGTTTTCCACTTCACACTTTGAGAAGACTTATTTTGAACCGTTGATAACAGTTCACAAGACGTAATCGACACTCTTTCACAGATGGATTTTTGATAACAGATCACAAGACAAACGTGCTTCTCCAGCACAAACTTCAAGCAGAATAGGAAAAGGTTTTTTTTTCTCTCAAGCAAGCAACTACAGCAGACAAAACAGAACCAGCAGAAACATGCTGGGGGCAGTGATCAGCCTGAGAACCAACCAGGAATAGGATGAGGAAGTCAGAAACGCAGGTGGCTAATATGGTTGGATACACAGGGTTTAAAGAATTAAGATGGAAATAGAGGGAGGTGAGTCCACACCCTGGCTCATGACTTGTGTTTTCTTCAGGCTGATTGTTAGTCCAAAGTCTTAGCAGGCCTTGCTGAAACGATTCATGAGTTGCTGGCAGCAACGTCTACATTGGCTTGGTCATGTTATGAGAATGGCTGATGGTCGGATTCCGAAATATCTCCTGTATGGAGAATTAGTGCAGAGAAATTGCCCCAGAGGGAGACCACAGCTGTGATCCAAGGAGATCTGCAAGCGGGATCTGAAGGCCTTAGGAATGGACCTTCACAGATGGGAAACCCTGACCTCTGAGCATTCAGCCTGTAGGCAGGCGTTGCATCATGGCCTCTCCCAAGTTGAAGAGACCCTTGTCCAGCAGGCCGAGGCAAAGAGGCAGTCCTGAAAGCAGCCAAATCAGGGAGCTAGACGGGGTACAGATTGTATTTGTCCTCAGTGTGGAAGGGATGGTCACTCTCGAATTGACCTTCTCAGCCAGACTAGACGCTGCTCCAAGACCTCCATATAGAGCATGTTACCAGAGTGAAGGATGCCTAATCTAAGAAAAACTAAATACAGGCCTGGATGATTAAATATGTCACACGTTCACTGTCTCCCACCTTCAAAATCTCAAATTATTTCCCTCTTGAGTGTGTATAGATCTGGTGGCAAGGGAGGTCAGTTCTCATCAAAGAGGACCTGAAGCCTAATTCCCATCAGCCCCAATCTGCCAGCAGCTCGTCTTTCTGTCACCAGTTATGGTATTTTTGGGGAGCACCTGTGGTTCCCCCCACCACCACATCAACTATGCTGAGTTTGTGACGGACTTTGTGCCGGGTTTGTGGACCGGCTGCCACCAACCAATTTCACCGGACGACCTTGTGTCCTTGTCTTACGGTTTGCACCAGTTATAAATACAATTCAAAGATTGCATTGGATATAATATTATCGGCCAGATCACCAGGGCAGAGGGGGCAGAGGGGAAGAAGAGATTTTTTAAGCAAAATATTAGCAGGGTGCATTGCAGCGCCCGGGTTCTGCTTCCCGTTTTCATTTTTCATTTTTCATCCAATTAGTTTTAACGACTCTTTCTCTTTCCACCTGTCGTCTGCCACATTGTCATTGAGTTCACACTGGAAGCCATCAGTTGTGACCCAACCTCTCCAGAGTGCCAAGGTACGATCAGCTGTAGTTACACGTGATGGAGTGAGAGGGACTGATCCATGCTTTAACAGGGCTCCGAGGACTCC